AAACCCAATATTGGGAGGATAGCAAACTGGGTCGGAGCTCGTCGATTCTGACGCGTTATCATCAATCACAAAGTTAAAAAATCGAAACATGTGCAGCAAGGCTTAACTGCAAAAACAAAACGCCGTATTTGAAGAGACTCACCGTAAGAAAGCGGCGCCTCACACTCTGCACATGCATAGTTCTGCGCACACAATCCTCGTTCTTCACAGATCGCCGTTGCCAACCGGAAATCACGTCGTGACGCTGCGACGCCCGCACAGACTCGACGCACCTCGGTGGCACACTTGTCATGAACACGGATACCGCACACTGAGAGTACACGTGATAGTATGATCAACAAATTTAGTATAAGCCTCCACCTTTGCAACGCCGCCATGACTGAACCACACGCCAGATGGTACCCATACATACTTCGCAGTATGGGTTTCGACGTCCATGGCTTTTCTGGATCTTAAACTCATGGCCGAGGACTTTCACCACTGTGTCCTCCGCGTAGCCAGCATTTTCCTAAAGTAAAAATAAAGATGTTCTAGTCGCAATGTTAAACATAAATAATCTATGCCTTTTACTAGATGCATTTGCTAGCATTAACTCTACAGTCTTTGATGAGTTTTTAAGATGACTCATTTGCATTTTTGACAAGTTTTCATGAGATCAAAACGCGCAGAAGTATAAACAACAAAAGGATTGATTTCGAATAATAAGAATGAAAAACTCGTAACACAAAGACTAACCTCAAGCGTTTGCTTCTCAAGATTGAGTTGAACCAGTTTGTCAAGGTACATTTGTTTGATTGGCGAATTTCTCTCCGACATGCGTTCCTTTAGCCGATCTTTACAATGCGCAATTGCTGCAGCTATTTCATCAGAACTGAAAGAAAAAGTAAATGGAATTTGGGTCGTACTACACATGCAATATTCTTCTTCCTCACTGTCCTCCTCCATTCTCCCTTCCCTCTTCCTCCTCCCTTTCCCCTTCCCCCCTCTGCTCTTCTTCCCAAATAAGAAACGAGAAGTGATTCGTAACTCTCCCGGCTTCAGTCAACCGCTACTACGATTTCCCTTATAAAATAGTGAATAAATTCGTAGGCGAACTTTGCTAAGACCTACCGCGTGCTGTTGGGTTCATTTGATCGATGTCGAGCGATAATTTCCGAAACTTCGTTGTCAACAGGTGTCGGCTCTTCACAAATGCTTTCTTTGCGAAATGAGATGTCAGCAATCCCAGAAAGGTCAGAAGATAGTGATGACATAGGAGGAAAACAGGAAAGCCCCTGAAATGATTCAACTAATTTCTTACTAACTTAGCACTTCAGTTTCACACCAAACAACACACACGACACATGCTCCAAACCTTGGAAAAAGGATTGAATTTCCTGTAGATAGAATATAAGAAATCTACAGCAGTTGCAAATAAATTCATGAATCGATGAACTTTTCAGCAGCTGATCGGTGCTAAGCTGATGCAGCCGAGCAATTGATCGCGTGAACCAATCGTGTGTTGTCTTTGCAACATGCAAGCAAAGGTTCAAGTAAATAGAACATGCAAAGGCTTGCAAAAA